TATAATGATTCAAGAGGGTCACGTGAACACATTTTCCGTAAAATCTTTCCCTATTCCTATTCGACTCGTGAATGGTAATAAACAGTGTATCCGATCGATAAAGCACCGAGCGTCGGCCATTGTGATCCAATTGCCGTTTCTTGTTGAGGCTCATAATGTATAATTATTACACAGTACACACCGTATAGTGACCAATAATAAACTATAACAATCTTAGAATATGATAATGAAAAACAAAACATCTGCGTGATATTAGCTCTCCCTCGCTCTCTCTTACTTGAGCAGTACGGCCGCCTCATTGAATCACCGACCTGAATGTCTTACACGGACCAGCATTATATTCGGAAGGCTACAGCTTTTTACTTTTTCTGGGGATAGGACGTTGCTCTTTTAGTACTAGTAGCCGAGATTTGGGTATTTTATAGTTAGATTCATTTTTTGATCGATGCTAAAAAATACTGTTGAACTGTACTGACATCCAACATTGAAGCTTTTTGCTATCGTACATCACACCTTGCTATAAACTGGGTGGATGAATAACAATTTGGCGGTAATTTTGAATTTAACCCTCAGAAGAGAGAGTCAGAATTGTTCGCGGCTTCAAAAAATTGTCCACAATTACAGGGATAATGATGAATACTTTATTGGCCTTCGTTTAGTCAAATCATAGTTTTGGCAAGCACGACTGGCGGTTTATATGAGAATTAGACATAGGTTGCAGAGGCAAATATTGTCATGCACATTCCCTCTAGATTCTAGGAGTATGATATAACTATAGCCATGAACAATTCGTACAGCTTCAGGTTATCCTCAAAATTTTGAAAATTAACACCTATGTATTTCATTTTTGGTTTCTATCTGAGTATCTCACTCTGGAACAAGGTCAAAAGGAAATCGCGGCACGTGCGGAATCGCGATTTTTCCCATTCTATGCGACAAATTTGTTAAGTGAGATTTGGAACAATGAGAACATTGATAAATTGTTAAACTTAAGACAATTAATCTATATTATAACTTTATAGCATACCCTTCACCTTGCAAACACAATACGGACAAAAACTCATTATGGTAAAGGAAATATTTCTACGAACATAGTGATACTGATAGTGAAAAACTTATACAAAGGTTAAGGATGCCATAATGCTGGCAACATGCCGCAACCTCTAAGTAGCCACCTCTAAGTCGTACACACAAACCAACTAGCAAGTTATTATCCTTCAAACCAGTCTACCCCTAATTCATAATTCGACCCCTCGCTTGTTTGACCATCGGCCGCTTCAAATCTTATCCCGTTTAAAAACGCTTTCTTTTCTCTATTTATAAATTAATTTTCTTTGAAAACCTTACCCGCTTATCATTGGCCGGATGTTTGTTTGGTTATAACAGAAACATCTAATTTCCAGATCTAATTTATTGCGCTATACTGTCGTGTAATTTATTTCAAATGAAATCGACTCAGTAAAACTACTTGAATGGCAAAATTGGGTTAATTTTCACAAACTCCTATAATTTTGCCGGTTAAGATTTTATTTGCATGCCACAAAATTCAAAGCTGTTCAGGGTTTAAGTGAATTTTGGGGTTTCCTCAGAAATTGAAAACTGGAGGAAATTAGCAGCTATTAAAGTAATAACCATTTTGCAGTGAACAACTAAACTCACATTCAAAAATGTGCCTGCATCTCCCTATTAATAATAAAGTTCATTATACATCCAATCCTATGGGTAATGGGGCGAAATTTCTCAGGCGCAAATATGTTATGACGCAGTGAAACTATATCGGACTACGATGTATGGGGACTTGCCACCCCATGGCAACATTAAAATATATTGACTCTGTCACATCGTTTCCTGTTGATATACAACTTTTATATAATATTTGACCAAAATCCATAATCATGGGTATAGACTATATAGTGGACCGCTGCCAGTGTCTCTCTTTCCCAAACAAAAGGAAATGATATTAATTTGAATAACCGTCCGCAAATGCAAAATGATACCGAGAATGAAATCGGTCGCTCGCTTTTCCCACTCATATACAATTGTAATAGATTAAGAAGAACTATAACCCGAAGGCAGCTGTACTCGGCAATAAAGATTCAATAAACATCAGCTTATTGGACACTAAGTCTAACTACCACCCTTTTCCCGAAATACTAGTTATCGACCCTAAGGCTAAAGCAACCCAAAGAGATTTTTACAGCATGTGATTGATGTAATTAATCGAAACTTATTAAAATTCGTAAGCCGTGAATGAATGATCACTTGCTGAGAGGCGATTTTGCACTTATGATGTCATTTTGTAGGCTGAATTCAAGTGTGTTAAACGGCATCAAAATCGGCAAACTTTAAAACTCGTCGTCCCTAATGGGTTAATTTAAAGCAAATATCCACATTTATATAAAATTTGATGCAGATATGATATTTGATAATATACCAAATATATATTATCAAATAGCATATCTGCACTTAATTTAACCGCAATTCATTGCTCTGATCTCTATGATGAATGACCACGAACCACACTAATTGCAGTAATTATCTGATTTAATACAGTCAAACCTCTATACCGGATTTTTTCTAGAGGTCCGGTATATAGAGGTTTCTCGTAGTTAATTAGAGTGATTAAACTTGGGGCACATAATTTGCCGTCCAGATAAGGGACCTCACATCACATTATCATTCTGGTTTGTGTACTATACTACTCTCACTAAGATCTACAACATTATGACATTATATTTATAAGAAATAGCACCTGTGTGTTAGCTAATGTTACCACAATCCCGCTCATTATAAAGTTATAATGTGGTTCTCATATAATAATGATATGAGAACACAGCACCTGCTGTGATCGCTGATAACACTATTTTGCTACACTTTCCTGGATATAAGTACAATTCACTATTCAGAAATTCCCCCATTATCAAATATCCGGACATTTTGACCTGGTCATTATCGTAACGGCAACGAAACAATTACCTCAGATGGCCATTAAACCGACGGTTAAGAGGCTAATTTTGACCATTTCCACACGGCCGCTTGACGGTCGGAGGTTTTTATCCCTTTCCCGGACCAGTTTTAGGTTATAATGGTTGATTAATTGAAAGTAATCTCCGGTCCAATTTCACAGCTGGACCATTCCAGTTGCGCGTTGTTAAAGACCATGGTTCCAGCACTAACTAATTTTACAATTACATGTTCGTTAGTACATGTCCACCGTACACCATTGGTCTACGGTCAACAAGCCACCATTCGTAGTTTAGTTTTTAGACAAATGCTTCTAAACTAGACCGTAGAACTAGATTTGATATTTAAATTATTAAATAAACGCTCTCGGATTGGACTCGTCTAAGATTGGAAGACTATAGCACTGTGCCTTTCGCTGCTGTATCATAGGACCTCACGACTTTCATTGCAGGATATTTATAAGACGTCGCGTCTTTCGCTGGCAATTTTAGAATACTCGACATCTTTTACTGTTGTATAAGATGAAATGCCGTTGCATTTGATTCCTGTATAATAGTCACACATTTTGATCGATATCAAAACATTACTTTAAACATATCATATTATGAACGAGTTCGATCTTTCACTCCTTGAACAAACTCAAAGCTTTGTCATCTATTCTCAAAGCTTGAGCAATGAATTCGACTGCAGCCGTCCTAGAAATAAGTATTATTATACATATAATATGTAGCAGCTCTCTTACAGCTGATACATTGAAAATGGAATATAATAGTACAGTCCCGTCAGATGAATATCGACTACAAGTGCAGTAAACCTTTTCCATCTCTCATTAGTCCCTCAAAGTTCACTAGTAGTGTGTAATAATTGTGTGGACCGACTATGGAGGATTAACAGGTCCATGCTGTAGCTACTAGCTAGCCTCATAAAAAAGGTGCACCATTTGGTCATGAATGTATAAATTTTTAGAACACTCGAGCGGATAATTACTGGGGGGATGATGACTGTGCGGGCCGTTGTTCTAGTAGCTGGTCACGTGCCTGAATGACAGAGGTCACGTGACAGTGTGGTTACAGGTGTCCCACACCCGCAGAGTCCACTAGCTAGGTTAGCTAACTGACGGCCTGGGTAATCGATAACAGCGGCCTTGGAGCAACTTCAATTAAATGTTTTGTCGCCACTCACTCACTCTCGCTCTCTCCTTCTCTCGCATTGACTCCAGGCTTGTGGCTCCATGTGGGTTCTGCTTACACCTGCAGTTTTAATTACCACGTAGTTATGTAATTACTGTGGAATAGTACGCTTTAATTTCGGTTATTTCGTTGACTAACTTTTTTTACCATTTTCGACTGAATCAATGAGCCGCATCGTAAATACTAGTCTGGTAATTTATGCACAAAATGAGATATGCACCGGAAAAATCGCCTTTTTGGTCACGCCCATTTGTGTTATATTCCTATACTATACAGTTATCTCATCTTCTGAAAATCTGAGATACTTTTGAATAAACTCAAACTAAACGCAATGGCCAAAAGGGTGATTTTCCCATTCTAAAATTTGTGGATCAAAACTTATTTTGGTTCTTTAAACCTTGGAGAGGCCCCAAAAAATGTTTTAAAACTTTACTATAAAATGCAGGTCAGTGTGCAATGTGCATAAATTGCCAAACTATACAGTATTATATCTACAGTGTAGCTAGTGACTCTTTACAGTTGCAGTTTGTTATCATAATCTATTCATCAGTTTTACCATCAGAAACAGCTTTATTTTCCAGTTTTATTGTTATGAGTGTTTTGCTCTTCTGGCTAGTTTTCCTTTTTTTAGAGCTTCTTATTGTATTGATTCCATTATAATCTCGTAGTTGTGAAGAGGACTGTGATGTTTTGCACAAAGCCTTCCAATTAGTTTCAATTGACGGTCCGAATTTTTAGAGTATCTCAGAAACAAATGATTAATATAATGTTACAGTGCTAGCAATCTGCTATAGCAATTTACTGCATCGAAAAGTAATAGTTATCCAATACTAACATTCTATTATCAGTATACCCCTCCAAAATGGCCGATAAGTCTGCAGCAATGGAAGCATTTAAAAAGTTTGACATCGACAACAACGGTCTGATATCTTACGACGAACTGGAAGCAGTCTTTTCGGAGATTGGTGGCTTTGCCTCAAAGGAAGATCTCAGGAAAATCATCAAAAGTGTGAGTACTCAACCTCAATTTGCATTGTCTGTGTAACGTTTCAAGTGTACGTGGGTTTTGCTGCTCGTCCTTCTCTTTTATGTAAGATATAATTATTCTCGTCAAAAGAATTTCTAGAAGTTTGGACAAATTGTTTTTCATGTAAGATAGTTGAACTAATTACCTATATATGGTCCATTTGACCATATATAGACTAACTTGGTCTAAAAGTAAAACAAAGACATATTTCGAACACACACAATCTTAAAATTATATGCAAACGATGTACATTCATTGTCTCAATCTATATTTCACATACTCATAGACAGTAACTGCGTAATATGTTCTCCAGAGCAATGAGCTACCTTGGTCGTCAATGTACACCTGTACTGTTTGTAAATTATTATGCGATGAACTTTGCGAGTCAAATTAATTTGTCTTCTATCACTGAATGTTGTATTGTCTGATCACGAAGCAGATCATTCCGCTGTCACGTGCATCAGTTTAAAACATACTGACTCTAAAAGTAACTGTTTTCGCAGGTGGACGAGGATAACGACGGCAGTATCAATTTCCAAGAGTTTCTGGCCCTGAGCATGAAATTGCAGTCCGAATCGACAGCTGAGAGCCTACAGCAACTATTCTCGACTATGGACAGTGATGGAGACAGGTTTTTGACAAGGGCTGAGCTCAGTCAGGGCATGACAAAGTTCCTCGGTTAGTTATTGATTATTGGTTGGACAACTGTTTATTTAGGGTCACAAAGAATATGTTGCACGTTCTCGAACTTCTAGCTGCTGAATAGTTGAACAAATGAGTACACATTGTCTTAGCGAGAAGGAATAATTCGTAAGAGAACTACTAAATTATTCAATATTATTTAAAGATCACTTGACCAACTGTTAGAAGTTTAGTTCTATTGTTTAAGTCAATCGCCTAGCTTTTTTTCTTTCTTAATATCAAGTTCACACGTTAATTTTGATTTAGTTACTTTGATAGTGTTTCTTTAGTTAGGTCACCCAAAATTTCAGATATTTTCTTCCCCAAAACTTCGAATCAACTAATTTAATTAACAAATCATCAAATACCTCATGACTTGATAATACGATAATATGATATCTCCGCAGGTAAGGCTCCCACAGCATCACAGCTGGACAAAGCCCTGAAAGACCTGGACACTAACAAGGACGGTAAAGTAAGCTACAAGGAGTTCGCCGACAGTATCCTCTGCAAGCTCCACGCAATTGTACTGGAAAAGTAACTGAGTTAGCTTCTTTCCAGGCCATAGCTCTTAGAGACAAGAACTTGTTGCTGAGATAAGACCACTGTTGCACTAGATTGGAAAATTGCATAACAAAAAATATAAACATTACAAAACCATCGTTCATTTTTGGGCGTTATTGGTAAGTAACGCGGTTAATTATGTTTAAAACTTGTTGCAAGCTATATTCACGTTATACACTATTAACGGGATTTCACTACATAGTTTAGCAGATTTGCTCGATCTTATACACAATTGACCCAATCCTGTGCAACATTGATAAAGTCTTGGCAACATTTCGGTCTCAGTTGTTTCAGTTATGGAAGATTTGATGTTTTTTGGGACAAATAGAACCCTGCTGTTGTTATACTTATATTAATAAATTATGCTAATTTTACGTATGATCAATATTTCATGGTTGTTTATCTTTTCTGTTCCGTTATAAATATATAGTATTTCCTTTTTCTGGTCAGACTAGCGTTGTTTCGAACGAGCATTTTCTTGGTTCGGATAGAGATTTTACCACTAATTGTGACATTACAATTTTCGAGGATCGTATAAAGATATCAGTTCTTGTAGCTTTATGATTTTTACGACTTCCATTTTCAGACTCCGTTTTTTCGTAGAGAGCACAGGGTATAGATATTGTATAATGACTTTTGTCGAAAAAGCTATTTGTCAGAGAATAGTTTAATTTTAGATTAGGTCAGGAAAAAGCGGTTTTGAAAAATAACTTTCTACTCATATAGCACTTGATTAGCTAATAAGCTGATAGATATATTTTATAATCAGTTTGACTATCGTATGACATTAGAAACGATACAGTTTCATTTTGATTAAGTGAACATAAGATTATGAGAAGCAATTTTTGTTGAGATTTAGCGAGTAATACTAATATTAGTCATATGTGGAATTCGAATAAATATGATATCTGGTAGTGGTATTTAAAGATTTAATCTTAAACAAAAAAGTTTCACGAAGTTTTTGTTTTTTTTAATTCTTTCATCCCCTGATAATTCAGCATTTTCTGTCCGAACACCTCCAATTTTAGTTATACGATGTGGCTGCAGAATAAACATTTCATCACTGTCTAACAAGGCGAGAAGGTGGCCTAGTGGTTAGATACTTAGAGCTTCCGCCTTCTACGCAGAAGTTCCAGGGTTCGAAACCTAGTGTCACCTAGTCTAGGCCAGGGAGTAGCTAAGGATCCATTGGATCTATGCTGAATGATGGGACACTTGATTGAGGCTTAATTGAGGAAGGGTACCTGCTAAAAGATCAAGAATCTCACTAAGATACCCCTTCAGTAAATCAACATTGTAGTGTACTGTAAACTGTAAAGACTAAAGATAGTACTATTAACTATTAATATTAACAAAGCTTACTTGTTGAAAATCATGATACTAATGACCTTACGTTCAATAACTCAATAGTCAATTATTTATCAGCGAGAAAGCCCTTAGACTGTTATAGTTGAGTACTACTACTTGGGTATTTTATGTTATTGACAAGCTTCAAAAGACTGTCGACAGCCGACAAGGCAAGCTTACTGCCGTTTCCAAAATTTAATTTATTCGATGTAAAACTTGCTGGGCGGCGCTCAGCCTGTCATTACGCTGAATATTTATGTTTATGAAGTACATCATAGCTTGGGGTCCCCAGGTAATGTAAATTGTAAAACCACATTCTAAGCTTTGGAAAACAGGAAGACATACTGCAACCCAGGAATCAACTACAAGGCTACCATCACCAAATAATTGGTTTGGTATCGACGTTACATAATTTTTATTTCCGACTTTCAAGCTGACTAAATCTAAACCAACCAGGGAATAAATTTAATGGTACCTTGGATATAATATTAGTACAGTGAACATATCACTCCATTTGTAACATTCCAGTACATTGTGCACAGATTTTGGATGATTTTTATCTTTGAAAGTACGTAGGACACGCAAGGGTCGATATCTGGTATTGATCAAAATTAATAAAATATTCGAGTATAATTGTTACTGTATAGTTTTGCAGAACTCTAAGTCTAAATGACCCTGGCCATTAGGAAAGTTCGCAAGAGATGGACCACGTTTTTCCCAATTTAGCTTTAGAAGATTGTCACAGGAAGAACTTTTAAGATGGGCATATGATATTTCACATGTCTATAGTTCAAGTTCAACTAATTGAGTTTCGATTAATAAAATTTTTGAAGCATTTACTTTTAGTCGAAGGCAAATTGAGGCTAACGAGTTTTACTTTTTTCTTCTAATTACAGATTCCAAGCATGCAATAAAAGTTTAAACGTGTTTAATCGATTCATCAGATCTCACTCTTTCAGAACCCGAAGAGAAGAGGGACATTTTTTTCGCTAATTGAGGTAAAAATGAGGCTAACAAGTCATATCTTATTTTTAAATTACATTTGAATAATAACGTCTATCAAAGTATTCTCTGACCTAAAATACATAAGATGGATGCTCTAGGTCGAAGGCCGGCCCAGCCGACCCCTTTTTTCCTTTTAATGGAGGGTAAAGTGAGGCTAACAGATCATTTCTAATTTTTGAATTATTTTTGAACCAATAACGTCCTTTAAACTATCTTTTGCCCTGGTATAATTACATTATATGGATACTTTAGGTCAATGGTAGACTCCACCTACCCTTTCAGTCATTTGATGGAGGGTAAAATAAGGCTAACTATCAAGGTTTTGTTCATTACTTGTTCTACTGCGTCTTCGGACTAGCCCTTCAATTTGTATATTTTGTATCGTTATCCTTTAGGTCTCAAACGAACTTTGAAAGTTCTGTACTTAAACGATACTTGGGGTTTAAAACTTTGGCAATGATTGTAGCATCGTTCCTTAAAATTGCTGTCGGTTAGTCCTATATATGAGAATTCCTTGCCCGATTTAGTTCTAACGACTGCCTGGTAAACTGCCGATCTTACTAATATACTATAAGCAGTGTACATTCAGGATCGCTCCAGCTGCCCCTGAATTTGTAGTTAAAAGTGAATTGTAAGTTCTTTATTATAGAGATTATCATATTGCAATAGGCATTTCAGAAACATCATTAACAAGCAACTCATAGATATTTATAATATGATTAAATAATTTGATGAAGGAGTATCTGAAAGTAATAATTTAAATTTCTCAATAGTACAATACTAACATACCAGCTGATATGTTAGTATTGAGAAATTTAAATATTATATACTAGTATACCCATTCAAAATGGCCGCCGATAAGTCTGCAGCAATGGATACATTTAAAAGGTTTGATATTGACAAAAACGGTTTGATATCTTACGACGAACTGGAAGCGCTCTTTTCGGAGATTGGTGGCTTTGCCTCAAAGGAAGACCTCAGGAAAATCATCGAAAGTGTGAGTTCTCAACCTCAGTTTGCGTTGTCAGTGTAAAGTTTCAAGTGTACGTGGGTTTTGCTACTCGTCTTTCCTTTTTCTCGTTAAAAAATTTCTAGACGTTTGGACATTGTTTTTAGCTCATGTATAAATCATGGTAATGTAGTTGAACTAATTATATGGTTCATTTGACTGTATATAGTCATAGACTAACTTAGTCTAAAAGTACAACGAATGCATATTTCGAGCGCACATAATGTTTAAATTGTATGAAACATTTATACAATAAACAATATACATTCATTGTCTCAAACTAGATTTCATGTAGACAGCAACTGTATATTATTTTTCCAGTAATGATCTACCTACCTTAGTCATCAATGGATACCTGTTTGTGAATGAAGAACTTTATGAGCCAAATTAATTTGTCTTCAATCACTAAATGTTGTATTATCTGATCACGATTCAAAGATATCATTCCGCTGCCACGCGCATCTGCAATTTAAAATATCCTGACTCTAAAAGTTACCCGAACCTTTTTCGCAGGTGGACGAGGATAACGACGGTTGCATCAATTTCCAAGAGTTCCTGGCCCTGAGCATGAAATTGCAGTCCGAACAAACAGAGCAGAGTCTCCAGAAACTATTCTCGACTATTGACAGTGATGGAGACAGGTTTTTGACAAGGGATGAACTTTGTCAGGGCATGACCAAGTTCCTCGGTTAGTTATTGTTGAATGGTTGGGCAATTGTTAATTTATAGTCAGTTTAGTCACAAAGAATCAGGGCCGTAATTCCCCCAAGATTTTTGACCAACAAATTAAATTTTCTTAGTTAAGTAGTTCACCAAAAATAGTAAACTATAGTTAAGATCGTTGGAAAAAACTGCACAGATCAGTGATGTCTGGTTTTATAAATTGTGGTTACCTTATCGGACACAATTGTCCCGGACATGTTTTTCAAGCGTAGTCTTCAGCGTGAAAGTAATGTCCGTGATAATTATGACCGATAAGGTATGTGATACAAGTTACATAACATAGTAATATATCAACACTAATTACAGTACTCACAATAAATAGTGATCGATTTATTCGATATGCTTTATTTGTTCTAAGAGATGGTCCCACGACGAAATACAGTGTAAGCATAAAGATACTTAATCAACGGTGTCCGATAATTCCACGTGTATTACCATCTAAAAGTGCTTTATACACAAGTGCAAGTTGATTTCTAATTACTGAAAAAGGAAAAACTCATAATTTTAACTCAAAAAGTCAAACATTTTCTGGGAGCTTCGCCCCCTGGACCACTGAACGCGAACGGGGCTCCGCCCCAAACCTCCCGGCTTTTGATTTCTATTTGCTAAAAATTCATAATTTTAAATCGAAAAGTCAAACATTTTCTGCCCCAACCCCAGCTGGGGACTGCGACCTCAAACCCCTGCCACCGCTCTAGTTGGCAAACCGGAGCCGGCCTCGCTTCGCTCGGACATGATCCCCAAGTTCGAAAACAGAATTACAGCCCTGCAAAGAATATGTTGCACGTTCTATAAGTATAACAGTATAACTTCAAGGTACTGATTAGTTGAACATGTTCTTTTAACGCGAAAGAACAATTCGGATTCATAAGAGAACTACTAAAATTATTCGGTAAACTTCACTTGAAGTTGACCAATTCTTAAGAGGTTAAGTTTTTGTTAAAAGTTTATTGTCTAGGTCGATTGCCTAGTTTTTTTGTTTCTTAATATCAAGTTCACGCGTTAATTTTGATTTAATCACTGTGATAGTGTACTGTTTCTTAAGTTAGGTCACCCAAAATTTCAGATATTTTCTTTCCTGAAACTTTGAACCATAACTAATTTATTCAATGAATCATCAAATAACTCAAGCACATAAATTGAAATAATAATATGATATCTCCGTAGGTAAGGCTCCCACAGAATCACAGCTGGATACAGCTCTGCAAGTCTTGGACACTAACATGGACAATAAAATAAGCTACAAGGAGTTCGCTGACAGTATCCTCTGTAGGCTCCACGCAATTATACTGGAAGAGGAACCGAGTTAGCTTCTATCCAAGTCATAGCTCTTAGAGTCACGAACTAATTGTAGTCGCAGCCGAGATTATATTTATACCACTGTTGCACTATATTGGAAAAATACATACCAAAATCGCTTATTTTTGGGCGTTATTAGTAACGCGATTAATGTTTTAACGGAATTTCATAGTTTAGCAAATTTGTTCGATCTTGTACAACATTGACCCAACTGTGTGCAACATTTATAAAGTCTTGACAACATTTCGGTCTCAGTTGTTTCAGTTATGGAAGATTTAATGATTTTTTGGGACAACCGCAGAACCCTGCTGTTGTTTTACTTACATTAATTAATTATGCTACTTTTACGTATGATCAATATTTCATGGATGTTTATCTTTTCTGTTCGGGTTCCGTTATAAATATATTGTGTTTGCTTCTTATGGGCATGCCAGCTTTGTTTCGAAAAAGTAGATTTTAGGTTCAGATAGAGATTTGACAAATATATCAGTTCTTGTAGTTTTATAATTTGTACGACTTCCATTTTCAGATTACTTTTTTTTAGATAACACAGGGTATAGACTATAGATATTGTTTAATAAGTAGTATTAGTCATATTTGAAAATTTTAATAAACATAATATCTAGTTTTAAAAAGTGATCTGGAAAGTTCTTTTGGTAATTCGGCATTCCCGTATAATACAGTGTGACAGTTACATTTTCATCATAGCTTTACAAATAACAAGGATAAGAGGGCCCACAACTGGACAAGTATTACTGATGAAGCCATTTCTATTAACGAGATTCTCATCGATAAAGCCTTTCGCCTCAATAATTGAACCCATTATAAAAAAAAGGCTGTGAAGTCAATATCTAATGAATTAAGGTCAAGATCGATTTTGGGATCCGAATACGACGGTACTCTCCATTCTCCAAATAAGTACTAAGTTAAAGTAGTAACATTTATAAACGCAAATGTTGCAACACTACGGAATGATCTCCTGTCAACTACTCTCTAACACTTTCTAGCACTCCTAACACTGAACACTCCTAGCACTCTCTACAAGTACAAGAGAGCTTCAGTTCCACTTCGTCGTATGATGAGTAATCATGGTCGTCTAGGTCGACTGCTTGTGCGATGGACAGTGTCAATGAAGTGACATATTCTGCACTTTACCCGGGTCCGAGACTTCTCAAAGCAGCCAATAGTCAGAGTTCTTTTACAGTCTGAAAATAAAGCATTAATACAGGTTTGTATTGACGTGGAATTAGGACACATGATCATCTCACGCACAGCTCAGCTTGAGACAATACAAATTTCAGTTCAATTCAAATCAAGTAGTCGTGATGACGAACAGAAAAGAATAAGATATCCTTGTATCACGTTGCGACTTTAAGTTTTTTTTTCAGGGTCGTTGTCATATTCGCATAATGAGTCTAACACAAACTGTCGTGAAAACAAGTGCGTCCAAATGCAGTTTGTCAGAAGTAAGATAAACGTGGTATGTAATATGGTATGTAGTTAGATAAACGTGGTATGTAATATAGTATGTTATAGTTAGATAAACGTGGTATGTAGTTAAATAAACGTGGTATGTAGTTAGATAAACGTGGTAGTTTAAGTTAGATAATCGTGCGACTCACAAGGACAAGACTTGACTCCAATCTTCCTGCACTTAGCGATACAAAGTACATTGAGGGGGAGATAGTTGTTTATATCGTACTTATCATAGTTCCTTTTGTCTTTTGACCTGTAATTTAGCGTTCCAATCAAACCACGGAAGTTTAAGCTATCAAAAGGTGTTACCAGGGCTTTTTACCGACAGTTGCTTAATAATAATACCCAGTTTCCACGCATTAACAGGTTCTCGATCATGATTCATGCCTAATCAGTGACGTAATCTGATTCTTTCAGATACTTGCCCATCTGACCCTAATTTAACCCGGGAATTGACGTAGCACCACAACACTTCAGATTAAAAATTAAGATTTACGATAAAGTCTTAATTCCCATTCAGTAAAGGGAAATAACTTTCCTCATATTGTTATTTAATGCGATAAGAATTCAACAAATCGATTCAGATAATTATCGTGACCAGAGCTGTTGCCATGATTATGACGTCATGTTACCTGATGACGTCAGAGTATCGAGAAGAGTTGACCCACCAACGTGTCCAATCCGTCACACTAGGATTTCTCCTCTCAATGTAAGAAAACACACAGTCGTTTATCAAAACAAACAGTCCTCCAACGTCCTCCATTTTCATTTCTTTCTCTCCCTGCACAATTATTAATTAAATAACCAACCTTGTGGTTGAGTATATATTCGTATAATAAGGCGAGTCAGTAATTAGTGAACACAGCTCTAAAATCCAAAGCAATTTGGTTGTCCCTCAAAAAAATCTACCAGGAGTTTGCAAAACAAATAATCGCACGAACTTTTGAATTTGAAAACGTTTCGATCAGCTCACCTGCCATATATTGGAAACTAGCCGGCACTGTTCAGTGAAGCAGCTTTGGGAGCTATCCAAGTCATTACGACGGTGGTAGTTACAGAAATCAACACCCTCTTGGTTATCATGGTTACCGTGGAACTGTAGCAGGAACTCGCCGATATCTAGAACTTTTGCTGAAACATCGTCCACGGTTTTTCCCTCGCGTGTCATTGCTTCCAGCAACTGAAGATAAAGGGTTTTTATGACGGGAAACTAGTGAGCACTCAGTCCAAAGTCGGAGCTGTCCTTCCAAGCTCAATTAATCCCGTTAAAAGTTTCAAAACAGTTTTCGAAGCATAATTGATTAAAGGTTTGGCACTTATTTTAACGAGAGAAGATAAATATAATATTTAGCTGCAATAAAGATATACTTTGACCCTAAAGATGTATGCTGTATGAACGGAAGATTTATGTTATATTTATTTGCACAGGAACCTGGACATCTAGAAAGCTGTTTGCACGACAATTGTAGGTAGACAGGAGAGTGTCAGCAATATATCTGCAGTCGTAAACCTGTAGTGAAGAAATTCCATCGTTGAGATGTCTGTATACTCGAGTCGCTTTCACTGTTTCAAATTTAGGTGACGTAAAGACAGAAATTTGAAAACTCCTGAGTTGGTCTAAAATGAATTTATAAGTTGGTCTAAAATATGAGGTTATAAGCTGAAAACATACCACTTTGTCAAGGTATCTGTCCTCGAGAAGTGGCGACAGTCTTTCCAGCACCTCTTCAGTGCCGATACTGTTCACATCTATCATAAACAGGTTCCGCAGCTGTGTTCCTACAGAAAGCTCGTCACAGTTAAAACTATGAAGGTTTCACATTTTAGCTTTTGTCTATAATATCTACTTGAGGCTTTTTAGTTTTAAGAGTTTGATTCCATATCCCCAGTTAATGATCGGAAAAGTTTGGACCAGCGTAAACATGACACAAATGGCTTAGTCCGAGAACAAATCTCATAATCAGCAGTATTTTGAACGGTGCCTTGATCTCTTACCGAGATTATATATTTGGTCGAAACTTTAAAACTAGATTAGTCAAAATTGTTCATATATAATGCAGCTTAGGGCTACGAGAATCGATGTAAATAAAAATCATGGCTCATAACAGCCTATGCAATTGCAATAGTATGTACCTTATCGGACATAATTGTCACGGACAAGTTTTTCACGGACCAAATTTTTCACGGACATAATATTAATTATTCACGCTCATGAGTCATGACCACCCAAAAACTTTCAAAAAATTGGAACATTTTTGGTGATTTTTTGATAAGTGTTTTACTCTTTTTCTGAACTCTAGAATGTGACTGAGGAGTGATTATATTTGTCCTAGTACACTAATCACAGGAGGGCCAAAGTGCAAAGAAACTGCTGCTAACTGCTGCTAACTGCTGCTAACTGCTGCTAACTGCTGCTAACTGCTGCTAACTGCTGCTTACTGCTGCTAACTAGGCTGCTAACTGCTGCTAACTAGGCTGCTAACTAGGCTGCTAACTAGGCTGCTAACTGCTACTAACTGCTGCTAACTGCTGCTAACTGCTGCTAACTGCTGCTAACTGCTGCTAACTGCTGCTAACTGCTGCTAACTGCTGCTAACTGCTGCTAACTGCTGCTAACTGCTGCTAACTGCTGCTAACTGCTGCTAACTGCTGCTAACTGCTGCTAGCTGCTGCTAACTGCTGCTCTGCAGCAGTTAGCAGCAGTGAGCAGCAGTTTCTTTGCACTTTTGCCCCCCCCCCTGTGTGATAAGCTAATATAGCAATCGGCTACACACATATCTATGCATATGTAGGGACACACACACACACACAAACATTAATGGAAATAATTACCGGACTTTATTATTCACAGACCTTAATGTCACAGAATTATTAATCACTCCTCAGTCACATTCTAGAGTTCAGAAAAAGAGTAAAACACTTATTAAAAAATCGCCGGTCATGAGCGTGAAACATTTGGACCGTGAAAAAATTGTCCGTGATAATTATGACCGATAAGGTATGTAGATTTGTACCGATAATAATGTGTTTAAGGGGCTGTCCTCGTTGTAGGTTGCTGACGAATGGGTAGTAAAACAAAGAGATGTTTGTCTGTTTATCTGTAGACATGTTAATACTCAGGTAACCCTGAAACAAAAAGATGTTTGTATGTTTATCTGTAGACATGTTAATACTCAGGTAACCCTGAAACAAAAAGATGTTTGTCTGTTTATCTGTAGACATGTTAATACTCAGGTAACCCTGAAATAATAAAGACATGTTAATACCCAGGTAACCCTGAAACAAAAAGATATTTGTCTGTTTATCTGTAGACATGTTAATATTCAGGTAACCCTGAAACAAAAAGATGTTTGTCTGTTTATCTGTAGACATGTTAATACTCAGGTAACCCAGAAACAAAAAGATGTTTGTCTGTTTATCTGTAGACATGTTAATACTCAGGTAACCCTGAAATAATAAAGACATGTTAATACTCAGGTAACCCTGAAATATTAACGGAAGGTTTAATTTGATAAGAAAACCATATTGTAAGAATTACTAGGTTATGCGTATATTTCTTTCACTAGTGGGGTGATACGTTTTATCAACAATTATAATGAGTTATCAGCAAGGCATCTTGGCTAAATTTAATAAGCATCATTAAGATAACCATAATTTGAGTGGGAATATTGCTTATTGCATCACAGGAAAACGAAAATAACAAACTTTTGTCACCAAAAAAACCAAGTTTTAAAATTCAGTACTAATAATAATGAGACAGTGAAAGCAATTATATCCTAGATTTCAATTTTCCTCAGTAATAAATGCAGCTGTTAAAATTGCAAATTATCGATCTCCAAATCGATTTCCACGTACCCTACTAACTTAAGCGCAAATTTGATTACAAATTTTTTACCCTATCAGTCACCGATGCAAATAAGTAATTAACGTTCATGATAATTTGTTGAGTTATACTTAATATGTGCACGACCCCGCAGTATCTAAACCCCGTTTATACTCGTTGGGAGTAGTGTCTCAGTGTAGCTGTCTTTAAGTTTAAGTGGAAGGTTTTT